AAAGAGTTCACAGATTGGCTAAAGCAATTTCAAAACTGTAAAAAACAAACCCTCATTAGTTCCCTAAATCTCGTCCTCGTGATGGGAATTTGGGAGATTGGATTTAAATCTATAGCAACATTTAATTTCATATTCACAGCGGGGTGGTTGCTGTAAGTGGAGGAGCGAGTTCATCTGCGGCACCAAATGGAATCTGAAAGTATAATGCTTTGATTACCACTAGCCTCACAGCGGTGGCTCTCCCAGACTCATCTTTTCTGTTTCAAAAGCTGCTGCTCTTCCACTTCGCGGTCAAATCCTTCCATCCAACCTGCCAACAGAGGCTGCAAACCCAACAAAATTTGTCATCTACGCAGATGAGCTGTGTCCAGACTATGAATACCCGAATCCCTGGGGCAGGACCAGCAAAGCCAGGCTTAGGACTGTCTTACCTTTATTCTTAAAGCCACCTGTTTTAGACTGCTTTACAGTTTCTGAAAGCATCCAGATTTTGCAAACAGGCATCCCAGCACTTGGAAAATGTAAAAAAAATAAATATAATTCAGTCGTTTTTGAGGGGGAAGAAGATTAAGAGAAAACCCACGTTCTTGCCCGGACTAAGAGGAACCACCGTGGCTCTCTTGGGCTCAGCGCTAGAGTTGCGGTGGTCGAGGAGAGGAGGAAGGGTCCTGGTGAAAGCCTCGTGGGCCTTTGGAAACACTCCGTGGGGTTTTGAAAACCAGCACTCTGCTTCTGCAGGGCTCACCCAGCAGTTGTGCTTCTCAGCATCTTCCTCCCAGCCTCCGAAAAGACGAGATGCGCTGAGGATGCATGTATAATGTAGCAGCTTGCAAAATATGTTCTCCCCTGCTTTTCTTCTCTTTTCTTTCCTTTTTTTTTTAAAAAAAATGCCCCCAAATCACTATTTGCTGGCAGGTTTTTGGCTTTGGCTGAATTTTTTTTTTAATTTTACTGCATTTTTTGGCTGAAAACTTTTTGGCCAGGCATTGCTAAAGACTTCCATTTTCCGCCTAAAATTCCTGGTTTGGGGCTGTCAGGTTTTGTTTGCATGTTTGGGGTTTTTTTGGATGAATAAGAGAAAATATTGTAGGAGAGAGTAATATGAAGATGGAAGTCATTCCCTGCAGATAGGTTTGTTTAAATTAATAACCCCAGTTCTGCTTGAAACAAATTTTGATGGAAATTCTCCGACTGTCACTACTGTCCAACCACGCTGAGACTGACGAGGCAGCGACTCTCCTCCGTGCTGTTTATATTAACATACGCAATGACTTAGATCCCTGCAAAACTGCGGAGAGGGAGCTCTGCATTCTTCAGGCGTTGGAGGAGGCAACAAAAAAAAATGATCCGTTATAATAAACTGCCTGCTATCTCTTGTTTCTATTAATAGCTCCTTTATAGCCCAAATGTTTACGGTGGCGCGGGGTGGTGTAGTTTCCACAGACCCTGGGAGAAAGGAGGAATTGTGTTTGGTCAACCATCACCACTGATATCTGGCTTTTTCCTAGCTGAATGAGGACTCCCAGCTCCAATGATTTTGTGCTGGATGGGGAAAATTCCAGTGAACTGGGTAAAAATGCAGCTAGGAGCATTTCCCAAAGGACCGAACGGCCTTGCAGTGGTTTCTAGCCTGTCTTTGGGCTAGAAAGGGTTTAAAACCAACGGTTGGGTTTAACCGCTCATTTAAGCCCAATGGTTGAGTTCAACCCAACGGTTGGGTTCAACCCCTCGTTTAAACCCAAGGGTTAGGGTCAACCCAATGGTTGGGTTTAACCCCTCATTTAAGCCCAATGGTTGAGTTCAACCCAACGGTTGGGTTCAACCCCTCGTTTAAACTCAAGGGTTAGGGTCTACCCTTTGTTGAGTGAAGGGTTGAACCCAACACAGCTAAACCCTGCAGCGAAGGGTGGTTTAGTTCTCAAAGCTTCTGCATGGGGAGAGACCCCAGTCTATCCCCACGAAGAGCTCTGCTGCTGTCTACAAGCTGTAGCATCTGCCCTGCTCCTTGTAACTAAATGTTTCTGCTTCTCTGTTTTGGTTTTTTCTATTCAAAGGTGGGCCTTAATGTTCTGGTTCAGAGAGCAAACAAGTTTACCCCCGCCACTCGTCTCTTGATCCAGAGGTTTGTGCCATTCCCCGCAGTCGGTAAGAAAGAACGCCTTTTCTCTATACTCCAAGTGTTGGCTGTAAACCTACCAGTGGAACAAAGCCACTGGGACGGACACCTAGCTCCTGCCTTCCTGGTTGAGGCTGTCACTGCCGTGTCCGCTCGGCGGAGAGTCCCCGAGTCGGTGCAGGCGGTGACGGGGTGGTGCAGAGCAACATTTCCGCAGCAGAATGATCCGAAGCTGCTGGCGGAGGCAGCTTGCAAAGCCGTATCAAGCTGCGCTTTCCACTCCCGAGCAGTTTAAAAAACGATCGGCGTTGACTGGTCCTTGACTGCGCAAATTCGAGAGCGTCTAATTCGTGAGATCTGGTTTGAATCATGTCAAATCAAATCCTTGAATAAGCAGCAGCGTTGTTTTTTTTTTTTACAATAAATATGCAATGGAACGCTCCTACTCTGAACACACAGATTTCTGAGAGCCACTGATTAAAAAAACACCGAAGCGTGTGAAGAATTAAGGCTGCTGCTGTCTTGTTGGAGCACAGAATAAACCCTTCTGCAGTTTACCAGCTAGCTGCTCGGTGTTGGAGGGCAGGGACACGCTGGACTCAGCCTTTGCTGAAGCTGGGGGTGCAGCGTTCAGCAAACGAGGAGTTATTTTAGCTGAGAAGAAATCACCAGTGGCGTTCGGGTAATTTTTTATATAAACTTGTTCATTTATAAAGATAGTGCAAAAATTGTCCAGGCGTGGAGGAAATCGGTAAACAACGGGGTTTTGCTCGCTGTTGCAGGTCCCTTTTCAACGGTGTTAATGCAAAACGTTCCTTTAAGCTTTTTCCTTTGCTGCGCAAGGGCCACGTCCTCAGGCTGAGCCTCTTTACCTAGCTGTTGCTCTCAGTTTCTCTGGTCTTTCTGCTCTGTTTTTTTCACAGGGCTGGTTGCTCTGACCCTCCTGCCTTTGGTTCCCATGTCGTTGGGGCTTTTAAAATTTATTCTGCCAGAAAAACAGCTGCTTGCCCTGCTGGCATAGCGGGGGGTAGCGGGGACTGTGGTCCGTAGGTTGCATTCTGTTTTCTGAGCACTCTGCTTGCATATAGGGGATCTGCGGACGTCGTTACCATTTTCCTGGAACTTTCCTGGAATATATTTTTAGAGGGGTTCAGCTTTCTTTGGATTTTTAGAACCGGGAGGGCACCGGAGGTGAGCACAAGACCCAGGAGGCAGCTCCGAGGCTGGGTTTGAGTCAGAGATGCACGCGGGAAGTCTTTGCCACCGGGTTGATCTATTTTCACACCAAGGTGTGAGAAGAGAGAGGTTACGCTTGTGTCGGCATTGATTGGGGCCCCATAATTAATTTGTTTAGCCCGTAATTAATTCTCTAGTTCTTATTTTATTTCTGTGCTGTCATGCTTCGTTATGTGCCAGGACATCAGGAATCCTCCCACTAATTGCTGTTTTGTGGTTTTGAAAGTTGCAAGTTGTTGGTCTGCAGACCTGGGCGAACGGTTTAATGAAGACGCGTCTTCCTGTTGCTTTTGAACCGCCAGCTCCCAGCAAAAGGGGAGAATTTCACCTTGCCCACATGAAAAGCCAGTTAAAGCACTTGCTCGGCTTCCATTAAGCAGTTTTCCCCTTGCCCTTCCTTGCCTCCCTGTCCCACCGACCTCGGCTGAGCTGTGCTGGTTGATCGCAGCTGCAGAGCTGGAGGTACGCATCAGAGCTTTATGGTCTCTCATCCCAAGGGGCAGTGAGAGATGGAGGCTGGGGGTACCAGAACTACTGCTTGGCTGGAAGGCAACCAGAGTCCTGGCAGAGATGTTCATAAAGACACTTGTAAAAGCCTTAGGAAGCTGGAGTAGGCACTGGGAAAGCCGGTCTGTGGGTCTTACTGCCCTCAGAGATGTTCCACATGTTGTGCCTGTCTTCTCTGGGTCAAGCAACAGTTATCTTTGCCAGATGAACTAAACCATATCCACAGAAATGCTGCCCGTAGGCCATATTTAACATAAGTGGTCCCTCCTTGAAATCCACTTTCACCCAGGGGACACTGAGACCAGTGCAGGGCATGGGGATGTATCTGCAGGGGCCTCCAGATCTCACTTGTGATAACGCAGACTGTGGCCGGTCACGAATGTACCCAGGTAGCTCGTGCAGGCTCCAACTGCTCTGATCCCCGCGTCGCGGCGGGTGGCACTGGAGCAGGGTGGCGGGAGGTCGGGCTGCACCCTCACCATCCACCAAAGGTAATTTGTAGTTGCTGAAGATCACAGGCTGTCTGAAAAGTCCACCCCAGCCCCAGGGGATGGATCTCTCAAAGCATCCTAGGTGGAAGAGCTCACGGAAGCGGCCAAGGCTCCGCATACCCAGTGGCTGCCTTGGTACAAAAGGGGTTCAGGACTGATGTTGGCCACCCCAGCACATCTTGTGGGTGGTGAAGTTGTTCTCCATCAAGGTCTTCAGTGCAGGAGAAGGGAAGGAGTGTGTTGGCACAGTGTTCTGTAGAGCTGCAACTCCCGAATTTGAACAAGAAAGGGTCAAGCCCTTTCTTGGGGATGTAGGTGGTGAAGTTCATCAACGCCCAGGTTTATTGCGAAGAACCCAGTTTACCCACTGCTTCGCAAGCACTGGGTGTGGATAGCTGTTACGAAGGTAAGGGGTGTCACTGGTGATGATGTGCTTTATACTGGAGAAGTATGTGGCCAAAAAATGCCACAGAAAACCCTGAAAACCCCCAAAGGTGGCATCCCAAACCTGATCAGAAGGAAGTTAGAGGAGATCCGTTGGAGGGAAGGGAAGTGACGAGGAGGAAGGATTCCTTCTAGGGTTTTTTTCTTTTTGTGAGTGGGATTAAAATTGTTAAATGTGTTTAGGTGGTACACAAGGGCATATTTAATGTGTGGAGAGCACCCTGGTTTGGCAAGGGTGTTTATTCACGTATAGAAGTAGGGTAGTGGGTTGCCTTTGTATCTGAACCCAGCTTCCGTTATTTCACTGAGTGTTTTCACAAAAGTAGTTTCCAGCCTATATTATCACAATTTATTTCCAAATTCGGTAAATCAAATTGTCTACACATATATTTATGTATTTCTCATTCTCCCCGCTATTTGAGACTTCCATAAAATCCAAGTTTACCCTTAACGAGCAGCATTTTCTGCTTTCTCAGTGTTTTACTGAAACAGAATGAGGGCAGCTAAGACGGTTGCTTGTCTCAGGCAAACGGGCTGGAATTAGGCTTTGAGTCCGGGACCTGGTCAGTGAAGCCCTGATAGGATCCAGAGACTTGGAGAAGCGTCTTGGTGCCATGGGAGCTTCAGGTCTGGACACCCCATCACGAGTCTCGCGAGAGCCTTGTGCCGATGCAACCTGGCTTGGCCAGAGCATCTCTGCTGCCGTGTTTTCATATGTTTGGTCTTGACTGAAAGCTGGAAGGATGGGGCATGTGACAGAAAAAAAACCCACAAAAAAAGAGGGGCTAAGCTTGCTTTAAATGAAATGCCTGTTTTCTTTTTTGTCTTGGATTAGGGAGCTGAAGGGCTGATAACACAGATAATTTGATAGATGGGAAGAGTGGTCCGGCAGTTTGAATATTAAAGAGAGAGACAGAGTGTGCGTGTGTGTATGTTCCTCTTCTTCTCGAGTGTAAGGAGCATTTGTCACCACAAATCATCGTTGATTGCAGAGAGCTGCATTCGTATAGGGCTCACCCACCCACCACCCTCAAAAAATTAGACATTTGTTATATGACATGAATTGAGATTAATTAGCGAATATTAACCCATCAAGCAGTACAGAAACACATTTTTGGAAGCAGTGGTACTTGCAGCAACAGTGGGTTTGTGTTAGTTCTGGTTGGAAAGTTTGCAACAAAATGTGGTGTGGGGGGGGTTGCTGGAAAATGCCAGTTTATCAAAATCAAAACTTTTATAGGAATTAGCAGCTTTTCTTTGGAAAAATTTAAGTAGTGCCTGGGCCCTGGGGAGGAGCTGCATCTGAGAAGGATGTTCCTCAAGCCCAACTCTAACAGATTATTTGAGGAGCAGAATTTGGGGTCACCTCGAGAAGGTTACAAAAGCCACCGGCTGGGGGGGGAAGGGGGGGTGTCAGGAAGGGTCCTGGAGCTGCCTCTGCCTCCGCTGTGATCACAGGGCTGCAGTGTGGGAAATGTGAGTGTTGGGAGCCAGAGTTCTCCAAAGCACTCCTGGTTTGTGTCACGGTTCGGAAAGATGCTGTTAAAGCAGACAACCGGGTCTCTAATAGAAAATGAGTCCACAGAGCCATTTTTCCGCTAAAACATGTGAAATTAAGGGCACATAGTCAGCAGGACCCCTACTCATGGGATATGTGTCCATGGAAACAACCCAACCTTGTCTTATTTGATTAAAAAAAGAACTCCGTCCTCTTTAACAGCATCGTCCTCTTTAAGAGCTCAGATCTAAGCTGTCCTTCGTAGCTCAGTGAAATCCCTTGCAGTGTATTTCCATCATATCTGCTAAAATCCTTTCTTTAAGAAGAGTTTGTCTGCTGGCTCAGCAAGGACAGTTAAAGCCAGCTCTGGGCTGTACCAGCAGAAGAGGCAGAGGTCAGTCAGCGGTTCCTGGTTGGCCAAGACCAGCTGGTAGCCCAGTTCAAGGACACATCTGGCTTAGTAGATCAAAATGTTGGGTGAAGAATCGCTATGGGAGTTGGGAGCATGTCTGAACACCAACATCTGGAGATGCTGGTATTTCTTTGCGTCAAGATGTTCCTGGTTGTGGCAGCAGATCCTTTTGCGACTAAAAGAAAATTATCTTAATATTCTGCTCTTAAGAATCACATTTTTGTCTTGGTAGAAGAGCGGCTCCTTGACTTGCAGAAACTTCTTGACAGATTGATGCGAGCAAAGCTGAAGGGCTGTCACGGCGAACAGAAGCCTGCCATTTGGTATTGACCAGGGCTGCGTTGCTAATCATCGTGCTTTTCTCATCCGCAGCTAGTGCCAATATCTGCAATGTTGTCCTGATGAGGCACACGGAGCTGGAAGAAGGAATTGATGTTTTGGACAATAACGGAAACATTGTCGGGTCTTCCAGAATTGCTGCGAAACACGTATGTACCTGTGATGTTCCTGGCTGAGCGCTCGGGTGAGCTCGTACACAGCTGGCCTTCGGGCTCAGCGAATCCCACAGCCGTAGGAATCGATGGCTTGAAAGAGCTGGAAACAGATGAGCGTTACCCACCCTGCAGGAAGAGCGAGGGGGCTGAACTTCGCGCCCGCTTTGTACCCGCGCGTGCCTTTGCGTAGCCACCAGACCGGGTGTGCTGGTGGACACAGGCTCTTGTCGTGCTGGGAGATTCGGTGGCCGACCCTGATGGTTTGGAAGGGTCCAGCCTGACATGGGGAAGGTCCTGTGCCACCCTGACGCTTTCACAGCTGGAGGATTTCTTTGTGGAAACTTGTAAGCGGTTCATGTTGAGTACGAAGCAAAGGTAGCTTACACCTTTTTCTAAATGAGGAAGACTTCGTTTTCGAGCTGAGTAGCTTTTTAACCCTTGCCATGTCAGGGCTGCGTTAACAGTTGCCAACCAAAGCTCTGTGAGGGGAGCCAGATGTTTTCATCCTCGTGCTAACACCTGGTTTGTTTTCCCCCGTAACCTTCTACTCTCTGCCATCTGCCTGCAATTATTCCCTTTCCTTCCCTTCTTGCACAGTTTTGTCTTCTGAGCATCATCTGAGTGTCTGAGGCGTGTTGTTTCCAAGTGGGCTTTAATCTGAAATGTAAAGCATGTACCAAAGCACACGCCCAGGCAGAGGAGTTAATAATATAATGCTTGGCATTTCTCTCTCTCCTTCTGTCCAAGGCTCTTAAGGCACTTCATAGACAGCAATTAATGTACAGATTTACAGTCCTCGGCAAGAAATGGGAGATCTCTAATATCGCTCCATATTGTTATTTAACAGGGAGCTTAAAACAATCTGTTGAAGGGCCCGGAGATACTTATTAGAGCCAGTTTTCCTCGCTTATACTAACTGCCTTCAGGACCCAGTTTCCCCTCTCCATCCATAATGGCCGAGGGGAAGACAGACAACATAGAAAATAAATTTTAAAAGTGGAAGGTACTCTATATGTGATTTAAGTGGAGCTTCAACACCAAATTTGGGACTTCTGAGAACTTCTGTTCAGCCACCATCTAATCCCGATGCTTCTTCCTGAATAGTACTGGGTTTTGTCACGTAAAATTTGGCAGATCCTTAGGGTAACACATCTGCACCTCTCTGAGACCTGCTCCCAGTTTGGAGGGTG